TAAAAGAAAATAAAGCTATGAATTATATATTTATTTATTAAAAACTTGACATTTAATGATGATTATTAAAAAAACTGAAAAATTTCTACGTCTACACTTGTCTTGTGAAATTGTCAATAACATCGTCATAGTTTAATGATAGGAACAAGTTTGATTCGATAGTATTACTAGCGAATTTAATCTCCCTATCGGTCATGGTCAAACAAAGATAATTTTTAACTTTCTTTAGACAGGAAAAGTTCCGCTCACCAGTGTAATTGCTGACTGGCGTCGATACGCACATTCTTAAGGCTATGTGAATGTTGTGGTAAATTATTTCAAGTTTTTTTTTTCTTAGAATCTGTAACATCGCGTTGGTTGTTTGAGGCAGTACTTCGTCTGGACCAACATTGTTAAACTAGAACGTAGATGGCTACATTTATCAACAAAGCACTTCTCTAAACCATCAGAATACATTGTTACTAACATACTTGCTCTATTTTGAACATCTTCAGTGTTAAAGTTGATCGAATTACTTAAAAACGAAAATTTCCTGTTAAAATTGCAGTACGTCTCTCGTCTCTTTTGAAGTTAAGCCACTAATCTGTCTATAATTACTAGATAACATGTCACTCTGAATATTTCCCCACCAGATAATAAAAAAGTATTATCTTCGGCTGATTCAAATGCTGTGACCTTCCTTTCCCGTATCCTCTTTGTGTCCTTCTCATATTCTTTAACTAATGAGAGATCTAAAGCTCGCTGTTCATATTTATTAAAATTTTCTCTTTCTGCTAAAATTATGTGAATCAGACTGTCATACATGTGGATAACTACACAAACAGCGGACTATAATTTTTTGTTAATATGAACCAAAATAAAACCCCAAAATACGATCGAGTAAGCAGTTTCTAGTCGTCCTAATTTCAACGTTATACCTTTAGCTTCACATACAGCAGAAACTTTCTTATCCGGATTGCTCTCGATAGTAATCATCGTGAATTTCTGGAAATAGCTCTTTCAAAATTATACTCGAGCTGACCAGCGTGTCAGATAGATTTTTGACATTGCTATTATTTTTTTTTTATCATTACCTAGGAGTATTTGTGTTTGAATAAATGTAATAAATGTGTAAATTTCTTAAAGGAGACCAAAGAAAAGAAGCTTCTTGAACACATTGAGCGACACATTCCCCCAGTACAAAAAGCGAATGTGCAGAGCAGGGTATATATTCTGATCGGAAATATAATTCTTTTATTATTGTTCTTATATTTTCGGCATTATCATACGACTGGCCTCTTCAGTAATAGATTAATTTGAAACATGTCTAATGTTTTAACAATAGCATATGGGGTGTTTTGTGACCGATATTACGGATACATTTAAGAAAACGTTTAACGGGTGTTCGATCAATTTGAATATATCGGATCACGAAAGTTAATTGGTCAATGTGGGAAATATCTGGTGTTGAATCCACTATTATTGAATGACATTTTGATAACCAGATTTCATCATTTATTTGTGCCAAAATTTTATTTTCCATCAATTTAATAAATTCTTCATATCTTCTGGAACTTAAGTAATTGGTACATCCCTTTCCCATGCCGTCATATTGAGCAATATGTTTACTTAAAATCGGATCAAACTCCGCTATGAGTTCCAACGTTATTAAATAATTTCCGCTATGAAGAGAGTCAAATGTTTCATGTCCCCTAAATGGTAAACCACGCGATGCTTAAGAAATCACAGTCGCAATCATTCGTTTCAAAACTTCGCGCCAATAACTTAGGTAACTTTTCTAGGAACTGAGCGGCGAGATCATAATCAACAGGACCGGGAACGTTATATCTACGTTGCTAGTTTAAAACACATGTTTTATGTGCACATGAGTTTTCGTGGCTTTCTTATCTAATCGATGCGTTCTTCCAGTCATTAAAACCAACATCTTGTTTCCCAAGATTAAATCCACTACCGAATAATAAACAAGGACCACAATAAACTTTTTCTGTTCATGGAGAGTAGATAAGCCATTCCCTGGGACGTTTTTCTCTATTTAATAACTTTCGTTCAAATATTATTTTTGTCAAAAACGTGGTATTTTATCTTCATATATTCTCTTACTTAATGAAAAACCTGAGTTTATATTTTNCGTAAGGTAAATAAATCTTCATTCTATTAATCAAACAATGTCGTTTATCGTGATCTAATAAATAAAAAAGGGAACAAAACCGAAATGTAGTTTATTAAAGTAACAATAATTAAAAAAAACTATCTTATTAATTCCGTCACAAGAATAATAAAATGGTCTACCTTCTTCAAATTCTATTGAATTCAGATACAGTGACAAAGCAAAGAAACTAATGTAACCTAACCCAACGCTAAATTATTTCGAAATCGTGATCTACGTCTGGTAGTTTAGATAGATTAGGGGAGGCCGGGGCTGGACGTTCCCGGGGCACGTTGTTCCGACAGTAATAACTTTGTACAGAAAAGAGATAGCAATACACGTGAAGTACGTCGTTTAAACATTTTGGTCTATTTTTCGTTATTATTGATCGATTTATGTGCATCTTTCCAATTTTAGAGTGGCATTAGTTAGGTATTATATAGCTTGAATGTTTTTCCAATTGAATTTGTTAATTTGCTAGCATGACAGTTTTTATACAAAAATATAATTTGGGGCTACAAGTTCCCTCCCAAAGGGGCTGGTTGTTCCCCAGATCCTTCACGATCCTTAAATTTTTTATACATTTTACAGTACTTTCTTCATTTTTTTATTATGGTACGTACCTACAAACGAAAAACTGAGAGAGGGAAAACATCCGAAACGTTATTACGCCAAGCTGCCAATGCTGTCATACAAGATGGAAGAAAAGTAAAAACGGTAGTCAGAGAACTGGAAATTTGCCACGTGACATTACATCGATTTGTAAGAAAAATGAGAGCTGGTAAAGATCCTACCGTAGTATATAAAAGCAGATCAGTGTTTACCACGGAACAGGAAAATGAGCTATCAATATACTTCGGTTTGTTGCCAAGAGAGGTGCGAAAAGTTGCGTATGAATGTCAGTTAAATTTTCTTTGGGAAACATTTCTCCTACGTGGCATAAGAATCGAGAAGCGGATTGATTCACTGGATTTATAAAAAGGAACCCAGTATTGTTTATACGAACACCAGAAGCGACCAGTGCGGGACGTTCATCCGCATTTAACAAACATAATGTAAATTAATTTTTCACAAAGCTCGGCGATATTCTACTCAAATAGAAGTTATCACCTTCCAGAATATGGAACCTGAACGAGACTGGAGTCACGACTGTTTTAAAGCCGAAGAAGATAGTGGCTCAAAAAGGCACAAAACAGGTTGGTGCTATAGTTTCTGCTGAGCGTGGGACATTAGTTACTGTTGAGTTAGCAGCAAGTGCCACAAGGAAATACGATCCCACCAATGTTTGTGTTTCCCTGTTTAAAATTTAAAGACTTGTTTTTAAGAGATGGACCCTCTGAGGCAATTGGAGCTGGGAATAAATCAGGATGGATGACTGCCACTGAATTCCTCACATTTATGGATCATTTTATCAAGTTCACGAAATCCACTCCAGAAGAACCAGTGTTACTATTATTAGACAACCACTCGTCACATATAGACATCAACGTAGTTGAGAAAGCTAAAGCAAACTCAATAATAATGCTGTCGTTCCCACCTCACTGCACACACAGGCTACAGCCACTGAATGTGGGCATCAATAGGCCTTTTAAATCCTATTGTGCTAAAGCTCAAGACAACTGGCTACGAAATCACCCGGGAAAAACAATGTCAATTTATGAAATTCCCGGAATTGTTAAATCGGCATGGCCTTTAGCAGCAATCCCTGTAACTATTATGAACGCTTTTAAAAAGGCTGGATGTCCCTTTAACCCTGGCGTTTTTACAGAGGAGGATTATGCACTATCTTTCGTAACAAACCGGCCACTGTTACAAGCTGCGTCGTCTCAAGCTGAATCAAATGAGGAACCCCACCAGCCTTCTAGCAGTTCAGTTGCGATTGAAATGGTTGACCAGCCAGAACCATCCAATATTCAAATATTACCTCAGATTAATTTGCAGCCGGAATCTATAACCATAAACACTTCAACATCGGGACAGATTGGTGAACCACCTCAACAATCTACAACAGATCAGGGTGATGTTTCTCAGGCTGCCTCTGTGACCATTAATATTGCCCACGAACTTCAATTAACACCAGTAAAGACAAATGCTTCGGCTGTGTTTAACACTGAAATTATAAAGCCTTTACCAAAGGCACCCCCAAGATTGCAGACGGCTACAAAACGCCGTATAAGAAAGACGGCTGTTTTGACTGACACGCCAGAAAAAAATGCTTTAGCTGAAGAAGAGGTAAAGAAGAAAGCAAGGAAAAACGAAGCCATTAGAAACAAGGGAAAGGAAAACAACAATAATAAAATAAAAGGTAAAGGCAAGGGAAAAGGAAAGGGAAAACCTCAAGAAAAAGCTAAACGAAGAGTATTACAAGAAAGCGAGAGTGATAGTGATGATGAGGATCTAGAATGGTTCTGTATAATTTGTTATCATTCATATTCAAATTCTCTTCCAAGAGAACAGTGGATAGAATGTAGCATGTATAAAAATTGGGCACATGTTAAATGTATAAATGAAACTGATAATATTACTTGTGTGTCCCAACTGTGAGTCAGATGAAGAATTTAACGATGAATGAATAAGAATAAAAGTTGCCAAAGTTGATTACGACTGATTAAAACAAGACTAATCTAGATGGAGCTAGTAATGTTTTTTCGTTGTTTTTTAAAGTTTATAGCATTGCATAACAACTAAATAAATGTAACTATAGAAATTATTGTTTTTTTTAAAAGAAACCATACCACTATCGTTATACTTTACTTATATTATCCATGTGGCACAATTTGCCCAAGACATGTAACAACTCGCCCCAAAGTGGGGTTGAAGGTTTCCTTCCGAAATTTTGCAAAAATTTGCCTGAATAAAAAAATATATTGAGAAACTAGCAGAAATGACTTTACTATTACAGAGACCTATTAAGACTTTTTAATAAAATCAAAATTGATATCTTTTCATTTTCATCATAAAATTTCATGTTATTTGAAAATCGGAACTTTCAGCCCCGGCCTCCCCTATTAAAACATTATTTTTCCATTGTTGAACTTGCAAGTAAACTCTTTTAATATGTTGTTTTGCTGCATCCTCTGTTGGAGGTAACGAGCTGAGTTGTGCGCTCTTGTCTTTTCAAGCTAATGCTGTAAAACGCTTGTATCGCAGACTCAAACCTGAAAGTACCTGATTTCGCTAACACACTAAACAAAGTGAAAAATAATATAAAAGAATTGGGCAATAAACTAGGAAACATAACCAAAAACATTATTGTGGGTTTTTGTTTTATTTTAAATATTTTTCTTTCCGTTAAGTTATAACAGTTATATTTATCCTAATAATACGATAGCGAGTTTCTGCAGTTTGTCCGCTCCTGATTCATTCGAATTGTTTTTGCAAGTCCCAGATTATAGGGGATTTACCAATGTGAACGAAGGTGAACACCGCGGGGGAAGAGTAGTTGCAAATAAGTAGCCATCGAGGTCAGACGAACAAAAAGAGTAAAAATAAAAGAGGAAAGACGCGAGAAAGACGAAAGACGCGTAGAAGACGAAAGACGTACAAAAGACGGAAAGTCCTGAAAAAGACGATAAAGACGGAAGACGATAAAATCAATTGTATATTGATGTGCTGTTGTGACCAATAAGAAAAGTGTATCAGGATAGCTGTTCAATACTGTGGAAAACTCTAATTGNATTTATTTTTTCACAACAAACAAATATATTAAAACAAAGGTGAAACTGAAATTTCAATGTCGTGTCACTCGTTCGGCGAATTTAAGTTTTCCTAAGAGATATCTCAGCGGAAAATTTCGCAAGGCCAGTCTGTACACAGGTAATAACGCTGTTTCGTACTATGGGTATGCGAGAAAGAAGATACTATTCTTAAAGGATTTGAATATTGATTTAACAATTTGTTACAATCATTATAGCGAAAGCAATTCCTCAAAATATAGGATAGAGAAGACCGAATGGGTTTACCTAGAAATACCGGTTGTCGTTAGCGTAACGAGTTTACCCACAATTAACCCTCCGTTCTACCTGGTACTTCTCGAGTAACCACTAAACTTTGTAAATATTCTANATAGTACTAGTATTTTGTTTGGCCCGGTCAACTTATCTTCGTTAATTTTCAACGTAGAACCACGATTCTTTTTTTTAACCCCACCTAGCCACTCACGCAGAATCCAGCTTCATTTCGTCCGTCTCAACTTTCTCACCCGAACCACTATTCCTGAAAGCAGGCTGAAGAGGGCCTTCCGCCCTACCTTTCGGCGTAGTCCGGAGGGACTGCCCGCCCACCAGCAGTACTGGCTGGTGGGAATGAAACACCCAAAAGTTTTTTTTAAATAAGAGTACGATTCCTACATTCCACCTACCCAGGCAAGAAAGAGGGAATCAAATCGTGCCAACTAGGCTTACTCACCCGCAGTAAGTCCCAACGAAAAGTGCTTCTCGTTTTACCGCCCAAAACCGTAAGTCTCACCCGTTACGCTCACCATTGTTTTTTCGCTCGCGAATTGTGCTTATTTGGACTGATTCATCGTGGTTATAGGTATTTATATTATTCTTGCTTTTTTGTCTTTTGTCTTCTTGTCTTGTTCATTTGTATTTTTCTGTCAATTTATGTTTGTTGTTCGTAGTAGTAAGTATATACATATATGTTTTAAGCTCTCAGCTTATATGGATTTGTAAATAATGTGTTTTTTGTCAATTGTTTTTTTTGTTTGTTGTAAATACTTTATACATTAGATGTTAGTAAATTTTTTGTTGTAAATAAAGTGTTGGTATAAAGCGAGTGCGTATCAAATTGATCAACTATTAGAACTTGTCATTGGTAATATTGTTGATGTTCGTGTTAAATATGCTGCGTTTAATATTAATGTTGGCGCAATACCTGCTTTAATCAACTTACTCAGTAATTAGGAAATTGGTAAACATAACTGCTAAAAGGCTCGAAAAGACCATTTCCTTCAAATTCAAATGTTTCCAAAGATACAAGAATGTGCTATAAATGCAACAAACCTGATCGTATAAGGGTGTGGGAACACTCGGTATAGCAAGAAACATTTATATTGTGTATCAATTAAGCCTCTGCATTTGTGCTGACTTATAATACCATGTAAATAATTTTGTATAAATACCGTGTAAATATTCCAATAAATTAGTCTAACACCAGGCTCACTATTATTCGGATGCTGATAAACTGTCAACCCTTGGAAGCTGTGATTTTGTGCCAATCATCAAGGATGCAGATAATGTGTCCAACGATATTACTAAATCGGTTCTTCTCAGAACCACAACTTTGATAGTCACCTCTTCCTACGACCACACAGAGTGGCTACAAGGGGATTTAATTTAAATACACCTAAATCTGGTTTTGTCAGACCATAATTTAATAATTTAACTTGCAATAAATTTGGTAAACACGGTCATAAATCAGACAACTGTTTTTCCAAGTTTCAACATAATTCTAAACCAAGGAGACATGACGTGAATTATTTTTGTGTTCGCTTGGATGATAGTTTTTATACAAATTTTACTATAAGGTAGTAGTGGCATATATGGCCCAGTGGGTAATATGGCCCACATACCCTAAAACCGCTAAAAAGTTTTGTACTTGCGATTTGGCAACTCTGTTTTGTCTAACTGATCGTTAGTATAACCACCATTAAAATTTTTCCATTCTGCAACCCCCCGTGAAATTGGTACAGCAGTTTGAGTCGAATCGGTAATGAGTCCGGGTGCATATAACTAAATTACTCCGAGAAATTTATTGACGCTACTTTAACAAGGTTCTATTGTGGATAGATCCGACTTTTGGTTCACGTGAGTAATAATGTTTTGTTTAAGTTTTCGTCAATATTTGATTATAATTTGCTTTAGAAACTTTTCAAATAATATTTTTTATATTTTTAACGTAAAATGGCTTATATGCTCCACTACCAATTAGGTATATATGGCCTAGGCCATAAAACCCGTACTGGGCCATATTATCCGAGTCGCAGCAAAGATGTAGTTACCAATTTTTTTGCAGATTTCGAAATGGGTAAACCTTGCAAAAATCTGAGGAGACAGTGGAACACTGATAATTTAAAACCAGCTTTACAAGCTTTGCGGGCTGGTGAATCACAGAAAACTTTATCCGCAAGATTTAAAATTCCGAGACGAACACTACGTAAATATTTGAAAACCGGAGAGGAACAAAAGAACTTAGGTCGGCCAAGTATTTTATGTCACGATCAAGAATTGGATTTTGTAGCAAGAATAAAGCGGTACTGTGAAGTTTTTTGTTTTTTGGCATATTTTTATTCAATAAAAACAATAAAGTGGGCCATATATGTCTCTACTACCTTACAAGGTATTTTTGTCAAATGCCTTGTTAGCACAGAAGCAAAGTGTAGTGTAATTTCTAAAAAAACTCGTTACATTGTCACTTAGAGCCAAGTTTTATTGTGTTAAATGGTATCGGTAGTAACATAATTCCTAACCATGCTTCTACCCTTTTGGTTATAGAAAGAGATGCTACAGCTTTCGAGTTAATGTTTTACATTGTAGACCGCGAAGTAATGGTCACGAATGTCATTTTTGGTCGCTATTTACTAAATTATAAGGATCTCAAAATTTGTACTGACCCTGGAACCCGCTTACACCTTGACCTTCAGGCGAAACTGATTAAATATATTAGTTGTCTCACAACCCAAATTATTAATTCTTCTGTAAATAAAACAGATTTTGATGAATTAAAACAATTACTAGATAAATTAAAAGAAAATATAACGGCCGGAAATTGTGTCAACGCGATTAAAACAGCTGAACTAACAATAGAATTAAGAGAAGACAAAGTTATTTACTACCAGTCTTACCGTATGCCCTTAAGTGAACGCGAAAAGGTCAAAACAATAATAAAAGATTTACTAAAGAATAAGAAATTTGGGATAGTATCTCGATCAGCTGACACAATACTTCTCTACAGAATTTCAACAAAAATTCAATTAGTTGGCGGATAACTTCAGAGACGTTTTCTGAGGCGAAAAAAAAAACTGTATTTAACAATAGGTCGAACCTTGAAGTTCTCCATATAATCCGCCCGAAGTAATAGTTACCAAAAAGACAGGTCATCCTCGATCGTGCTTGGGCTTTCGCTGCCTTAATTCCATCACCCAAGATATAGTTTTGCCATTATCAGCAATCCACGAAACCCTCAAAGAAATTGGAACCTCAGATCGGGTTACATCCCGATCCCCGGCCACTTACCGCTTTGACGACCCTGACTGGAGATAGTTTTTTTAATTTCGAGTGAAGCCATTTGGTTTAAAGGGAGCCCCGGATATTTTCCAAACAGTTCAGTTTGGTATATAAATACCACTACCCTCAAGAAGAAAAGAATTGAGGGCATTCCTAGGTGCATGCAACTGGA